TAGCTCTTGCAATTTCAAGGGTATTGCTCTTTAGGGTTTGAAGTGGCGATTATTTACATGTTAACAAAATGCAGCTTGTTTGCAGTTCTGTAACATCAAGTATGCCAACGAATATAATTAGACAAAAATAAGAGGTGAACATATTTTTTTAACAAATATGCATTTTTTTTGCACTGCACAGAGGTTTTAAAAACACGCCATTAGCAACTTTGTAAGTGTGCTGATGACCACGGCATGGTCAAAGTTTAGAAGACACTTGGAATTTCTCAAGGGATGTTTCAGCAATGAGCTCTGTGAAACAAGGATTCACTTAAAGCAAGAAAAGGCCAAGTATTTCAACAGGCTCTAAGGGAATCGGGGTAATTGTTCATCTTTGCTGGTAAAGTGCACTGATTTTCAACTTAATCACTAGCAGAAATATTTTAAGTTCAGGTTCCCAAGGTCCTTGAGTAAAGGCCTTTGTGTGTCAACTTGCCTACAATTCTGGTGTGTCTGGCAGCTTTGAGTTTAAAACCAACTCAAAGCCCTATGCACACAGACCTAGCACCCAGAAACGGTGGGGTGTTGGGACTGTGTGAGGAGCTGGGACAGAGGAAGAGGCTGTAATCAGCAAGAACGATTTGGACCTGACTCAATTTCCTGTGTCTCATGACTTTTTAAAAATTCTGCCAGCTGTGTGTGGTGGCACACATCTGTAATCCCAGCACTTGGAAGGCTGAGGCAGGATGATTGCTGTGAGTTTGAGACTAGCCTGGGCTACAAAGTGAGTTCAAGGCCAGCCTGAACTACATATCAAGATCCCATCTCAAAAACAACAACAACAACAACAACAACAAAACAAACTCAAGCAAACAAAAACTAAAGAAAAAAAAAAGTTGATGAGATGAGGAAGCAATTGCTTTTAAAAACACAGCACCCCTGGGAAATTAAAAGCTGCTCAAGCTTCCAGAATGCATTCAGTTGTGTTGTTTTCTTCTGCAAAACAAGCCTGGGTACACAGGCGGGAGTTAAGTGATTGTAGGGCCCCTGGAGGGCCTTGGGGAAGGGAGTGATGGAGAGATCAGCAGCAGGGATCACAGAACATGGGACACAGGGGAGGAGAACAGGAAATAAGGCACCACGTAGAAAGGACAATGGACACTTTGTTTTTTCTTCTTCTTATTAGCTACTCTGTCTGAATTTCTATTCTTGGAGCCATAACTCAATTTAGTTTAATAGAGATCTCATAGCCACAAACTAGCTGAACTTTTCTAGATTCACGTGGAAATCAGAATTGGGTAACATGGGTGTAACATTTTTTTCTTCTTGGTACTGGGAATCAAACTCACAACCTTCTGCCTGCCGGGCAGGTGCTGTGCTGCTGAGCTAAATCCCTGGCCCTATTCTGAGTTTTAAAGAATAAATTTACAAGTAGATATTGCTAGGGCTATCCATACGTCATCTGAGGGTTATCCAAGCGAATCTGTCCAACCAAAGCCAGTGTGTGACCCCTCTGGGAATTACCTCTGCCATGTGTACTCCCAGACCCCTCTCTTCTGCTTGTCTTTCTCTCTTTTTTTCTTTTGATACTGGGAGTTAAACTGAGGACCGCACACTTGCCAGGCAGGTGCTTATGCTGCTGAGCTGTATCCCCGCCCTCTGTCTCCTGGAGCATTTTGTTTCTCATTGCGTGCTCAAAAGCAATTGGGGAAAGATAAGGATACATTTAAATCAGCTTCCCTGTTTGTAAATTCTGACTCTTTCTCCATTTATCTCAAACCAAGTTCGGAAGATCTGTTCAGCTACTTGTGGAGAAGACTCTCTGGGACTGCTGTGGTACAAAGGTCTCCGTGATGCCACCAACTTTCCTTTTTCATGGCTCATTTTTATAGGATTTTGGGCTTCCTCTGACGGCTTGTCTAATGAGTGTAGCACAAGACGGTAGGGTCTAATAAAACCAATGCCTATGCTTATTTCTATTCTCCAGGCATGCATTGGTTTGCAACATGGTAATACTTTTTAAAATCCATTTTCCTTCAAAGAGAAAAAAAATTAATTTTCAAAACATGTCAATCAGAGGGCAACAATGGTACATACATTGCTCATTGTCATCCCCGAATCATTCAGCCAGAGCACAAGACATCTGCATTCAGTTGTCTGAACAACACAAATACCAGCACAAATCTTTCTCTTCAATGGCTTTTTTTTTTGAATACAGAGAATTGAACTCAGGACCTTGTGCTTGCCAGGCAGGCACTGTGCCACTGAGCTATATTCCTGGCCACTTCTGGGCTTTTTTTTCTTTCTCTTCAACGAACTCAGAATAATCAGTAGTATAACTATTTTAACTGTCTTTTAATATATATATATAGTTTCTTTCAGTTTCTCACACTAGTGAGATGACACAATGTTTACACATGAGTCTGAGTTATTTCACTTATGAGTATGGTTTCAAGTTGCATTCATTTACCTCTAAAAGCTTCCAATTTGTCCTTCTTTATGGCTGAGTAGTATTCTATTGTATAAAAAATACCACATCTTTTTAAATTTATTCTTCAGTTGATGGGCATTTAGGTTGTTTCTAGGACCTGATTATTACAAAATGTGCTTCTATAAATATAAAAATAACATAATCAATCCTTTTTTTTTCATGGTACTGAGAATTGAACTCAGGACCTCACATTTGCCAGTACCTTCTGCTTGGATGCCAATCCTATAGGCTTAAGGCCATCTGTGTCCCCTCTGACTTTTCTGGGAAAGTTCTGTGATTAACTCATGATAAGATGATTTGTCCCAACTTTCGCTGCTCATTGGAGTTACCTGGGTCATTTTCAGAAATACCATTTAAACATGCCTGTGTCATAGGGTGGTGGCATATGGCTGTAACCCAAGCACTCAGGAGGTGAGGAAGAAGGATAGACTTATTTTGAGGCCAGCTGGTACTACATAGTGAACTCAAGGCTGGCCTGGACTATCTCAAAAAACCGAAACTAGAACCTCCAAAAGAAAAAAGCTTGGGGATGTAGTTCAGTGAAAGGGCCATAGGTTCAATTCTTAGTACAGAAATTCGAAACACAACAAATAAAAAAAACCATTTCCCAACTTCTGAGCTGACTAATTTGGAGGGTGGCCTTGGTGCTGGGATTTTTACACCTCATCCACAAAACCAAGATTCTACCCAGCAGGCGAGACCAAGAATCATTCACAGACTCAGTTCACTTCACATAGAAACATGCCAATTGAGACACGATTTTAAATCCACCTTAGATCAATAATTTATCGAGCACATACTCAGTACAAGGCACAAAGGCAAATTTCAGACTCCGTCTGTGCCAAAAGTAGCTAACACCTAGTGCAAGCAGCAGCCAGGCTGGCCATAAAACCCTGTAGCGGGGGAGCTTCCCCCTCTCTGGACCCCAGACACTTGCAGAGACCGGATTCTACTGGGTTGGGAGCTGGGGAGTCAGAAGATATAACCCAGAGGCAGTGGCATTTGAGATGGACTGTGGGGAACAGGGAGGGTTTCTGTGGGTGGAGGCTGAGGACAGAGCCCCCGGGAGAGGCCAAGAGAAGCTTTGGAGTCCTCCTGGGGTGAGCTGACAGAACAGGACAGCTGGTGCCCACCTGGGTTGGCTCCAGGTAGCTATTAGGGATTTGAAGATCAGCGAGTAATATCCGTGGAGAGTCCTTTTTGGGGGTGACCTGGTGCTGGGACCCGTGCTGGCTGGCTGTGGTGGGTCAAGAGGCAGGAAGCCTGGTGAGACGTGTGTGGTGGCTGAAGTCAGAGGACTGAGGGAAATCAAAGCCCTGAAAATCTGCAGTGGGGCCAGTGGAAAGGAAGGTCTGAACTGGGAGGGATCATAGCGCTGGAAGGTACAGGACTTTTGGACTCATGGGACAGAAGAGGAAACCAAGTGTCTTGGAGGGTTCTGATTTGGACTGTGAGGAATGTGCTGGCGCCCTTACTGTAACTCATTAAGCTGGTTTACAAAAGAGAAGATGATGAATCTGGTTTTGGATATGTCAAAAATAAACATACAACCGAACTAAACGTTCTTACCCAAATATTCTTCATTCTAGTTGAATTCTCTGAGAATTCTTGAAGTAGAGCGCCTACTGTATAACTCTGCAGTTTTTAGCAAAAAGCTAGTCTGTCTCCCAGGGAACATATGGCAATGGATGGGGACATTAGATGGGGAGAAGCTGCCATGGGAATCCAGTGGGTAGAGACGAAGGAGGTTGCTAAATATCCGACCAATGCGTGGGACCAGCCCCCTTTCCACAAGGACTTACCCAGCCCCAAAGTCAATAGTGTGGAGGCCAAAAAGCCCTGGGTCAACACAAATCAGCAGTTCAATTACAGGAATTTTTAGGCTCGTTATATTTTGAGTGAGACAGCGTCACCTAGTGTCCAAAAATAACATTTATCCTAGTTATATGTTGAAAAAAACCCAACAGATGAAAATTCATAAAATGACGTACAGAGATGAACAATAGCCCTTCGAGGCAGAACTGTCTAGTATTTACACAAGTGCAGGTGAGCGAGGTGTTCTGATGTACAATCTGGAACTGATCTCTGAGTTAGGAAGTGCTTTCTGGTTATGAGAGATTTCATTATACAGCAGAAGTCAACACACAGGACATTTTACAGGACTTTGAGATTATGCCATTCCATTAAAGCTGCCTATATTTTACCAGTTATTGCATATATGGAAAAGCAAAAAAGGTCTAATAATTCTGCTGCGTATGACTGAAATCTTTTGGATGCAACCTCTGGTATATTGTTATATTAAGCAAGACTGAAAACAAGAATTTTGAAGTTATGAAATAACAGGACCATGAGCCCTAGAAACTTCGGTCTTCTAGGAACAGATCTCTGCCTGTAGAAGCAGTATTCTACCCACCGGTGTGTTTCCCTCCTCTGTGAAGAGTGTAAGCTTCCTGAGGGCAGGAACTGTGTCTTAGTCAACCATTGTATTTTCCACAGGCTGTGGCAGAGCATCTTATACAGAGTACACACATGATTTTTTGAATGAATTTATTTTTATATTGTAAACCCTTGCCTTGAAACAAAGAATTTATTTTGAAGCCAAGCATTTACTATATCTATCTAAATCATTTGCTTATGTAAGATGCCATCTGAGGAGGCCTGACACACAGAACACCAGGGATCTGAGCAGAAGAAACTGGTAACAGGACCCTAGTCATCTCCCTGGTGAGCCTGGAGCAAACTGTGCTGTGACGACCATTGTTGGTGCAGTGTTTGGACTGGTGTGGGACCTGAAGATTTTTGTGTCTAATATAAGATTCATTTACCCAGCAAATACTTTCTGAATGGCTACTTTGTGCTGGGTACTCTCCTAGGCACTAAGGATATTGCCATGAACTGCGGGTTTTGAACAGATAGGTTAGACGAAAGAAGCTTGTTCCCCTTCCCTCCACTTTCCCAGCTAGCATATTGTTTTCTATGTAGAAAATGCAATTTGATCAATGATCTCAAAGCAGTTCACAGCTATGAAGGTCTGCTCTTTCCACAACTGCTACTCTGCTGTGGGAAGTGAAAACCAGCTCTCTCGCATCACTCCCGCCTTGTCTGCACCTCTTCCTTTCTGCTTTCTACAATTCCAGACTTTCGGGAAGTGGTGGGAGCATGTTGGGATGGTATTCTGTGGACAGATGATGATGACTCTTGCACATTTCTCAAGTGGCAATTGAAGCTGATAATTTTAAAAGTGACTCTGCAGATTGTTTGTTTTCTGATTGGTTTATTAACAACTCTTTAGTACTGGAGTCTAGGGATATCCAAAATCAGAAAGAAGAAAAACCAGTTACCATCTAAAGAAAAATGGTGCAGACAGCAGAGGCTGGGGGCCAACTGTTGTTGACGACAGAATAAGTACACTGTGCAATTTTGAGTGTTTCAGCGATTCTTTAGTATCTCAAGCACGTTTTGGCGCTTACTATATGACTCTGTGCACACAGGATATGCAAATCAAAAGGGCTGCACCACATGTATGAGTGGCATGGCATGATCTCCTAATGCTAAGTGGAATCTGATGTAATGAAGTCACCATAACTGCTGCCGTAGACATAGTCAGTGAAAGGTGACAGTGACCTCCCCAGCTTTTTCTTTTGCATTGTTAGGTGAATTAGTTATGTCCTAAGGTCACTACCATCTAACTTGTCTCTGGCCAGACACATGGCCCCTTGTTGCTCCTAGCAGAGCCTAAGCATCCTTAACACAACTGGGCCAGGGCCATTCTTGCTTCCCTCACAGCGGTTGGTGGCAGTAGTATGACATCTTTGGTTCATCTGTATTGTCAGCTCATATTTTTGTTGGACTCTTTCGGAGGCACAGCCTTGAAGCCATACTGCAAAAGAGAGCGCAAGAAACTCCGGCCACCTTATCCAAAGCACTTCCTGCCACAGGTTCAGCAGCGTGGGAACCAACTCAAATCCAGTCGCTTGGAAACCACTGCATCTGGCTCCTCCTCCTTCCACCTCCACAGTTCACTCCCTTCCACAGCAGGCATCCAGACTTAAAGTTCATCGCTCTCCACTATACTAGAGGAGCATGAATACACCATCGTGCTTTCCACAGATGAAAAGGCAGAAAAAATGTCAAGTCCTTTACTGGTGAGAGATCCGTAGCGACTGCCACTGGGCCGGATGGACATGGGCGGTGGGATCTGATGGTGCCACTGAGCTGGAAAATGGAGCAGATGATGTGTTATGGTCAGAGGACCACAGTGCGGCACTGCACCTGTTCCATGCTCCTGCCCGCACTCAGCAGTAAGCAGTGAACCTTCCCTGCCAAGCCTACAGGAAACTGGGCTAGGGTGCTTGTAAACCTTTAAACCCTCAACCTGTGATTTTTGCTTTTTTTGGTATGGGAATCAAATGTGATTTTTTTTTTTTTTTAACTCAGTAAGAGATTAGAATTCTTACAACAAAGAAGCCTGGATGAGTAGTGTGATCTCTCCAAACCATTCCCTCTCACTGGCCTGGCATCGATCTGCTGTGGACACTCTGGGAGGGCATCTTGGGAGAAGGTACCCGTGGAAGCTAAAGTTGGGTCAAGCTGAGCATGGTGGTGAACATGTGTAATCCCAGTACTTGGGAGGCTGAGGCAAGAGGATTGGGATGGCTTTGAGGCCATCCTGGACTACAAAGAGAGTTCAAGCCCAGCCTGAACAGCATAGTGAGACTCTGTGTCAAATAATTGAAAGAAAAAATAAAGAAGATAGATTGAGCCATCACAGAACTGCCTACCCCACAGTCTAGTCCCCGGATGCAGCCATGACCTACTTACTCACACATTAACCCCTCAGGTGCTAATAAGTTATGGCAAGAAGACTGAAAAGTAACTTATGTGCAACCAACTGTGGTTTGGGGACAGAAAAAATTTATTAGAGCTTCCATATTCATCATGAGATTTTTAAGGCAGACATGATTCTTCCCCCCACCCCAGACACAATTCTTAGACTTCAGCATGACCTGGATGAAATAACTCAGGCGGTGCAATCTGTTATTGTTTTTGATTTAATAAATTACCAAGCAATCACAGGATTAGGCTTCTGTGGACCTTCATTAAAGAAGGGAGTGCAGAAAGTGGGGAACACGAGGGTACTGGCTCCTAGAACACTGTGCTCCTATTTGGCATTTTGATTTATCAATTAGCCTTTCATTGACTTTATTATCTTGAATCAGTTTCTTGGAGTCTCAGTTCCACTGAGTGAACCGAGAAAGTCGAGTTTGGAAAGTTACCACACTGAGGACAAAGGTGCAGTGATTCCACTTAGAGATCACCTCTTAGCCTTGCCCTGCTCTCCCTAACATCTTACCTGGATGGTTATTTCTAATGTTACAAGCCCTTCCTTTGTGTGTGTGTGTCAGAGACTGAACCCAGGGCCTCATGAATACTAGTGTATACCACACCCTGGCCAGAAACCCTTCTTCAGCGTGTGGAGCTTTCTGCTCTGTGGTGATGGTGGTGGAGGAGAAGAGGGGTAGAGAATCCACCTCCCTTACCACAGGTTCCAACACAGGAAACAGCGCCCCCTATTGGCTCTTATGGACTCAGGATCTCGAAAAGGAGAGTGAAGGCTACCAACTGGAGGGGAACTTGGCTCCTGGAGGGCAGCGTTGGGCTAAGAGCCCTCAGTTTCAGGCTTGTCCCAGCCTGTGAGCTTCTCATTTGGAGACCCAGGGGAGGCTGGGGAGCAGTAGGTGCTTAGCTTAGATTTAGAAACCTTCACTGGCCTCTTCTGGATTTTTTTTCCAGCTTCTCTCACAGCTGAAATTTTTTCAGAGTCCAAGGATAAGGGAAAAATAACTAGAATCTATACATTTCCTATAATCTATACATTTCCCAGGGAAAATGGCAGGCCAAGCCTCCTCCTGTGTGGTCCTAGATGAAGGAGGTGACTGGTGCTCACCTACAAATATCAGGGTCCTCAGATTCTTGACACTTATTCCTATTTGTTATGCTTATTTTATTTTTTATTTATTTATTTGGTACTGGGGATCAAACTCATGGACCCGCACTTGCAGGTGCTTATGCCGCTGAGCTAAATCCCTGGCTTGTTAGGCTTATTAAATCTGTGAATTCAGCTATAAATATAAAACTTACTGATCTAAATAAAATTTTTTAAAGGAAAGAAGAAAACATTCTATTGGGCTAAGGAACATATATAACAAAGAACAGTTAATGTTCAAAAGTATAAGGGAGGAAAGTGGAATACATTGATGAAGATTAACTACTTAGATTCTTTTCAAAATGAGGAATAAGCCTCAAAGGAATGACAATTTCTCCCTATGGATGGCCTTGAACTCATGACAGTCCTCCTGCTTCAGCTTTCTGAGTGCTGGGATCACAGGTGTGCACTGTCACACCCAGCTGGCTCAGCATTTAAATGAAGGTAATGATTACATTCATCTCAGGGCCTGGGTGCAGGGGTCTCACGTGGTCACTCATGGCACCACTCTGGTGTTGCTTGATATAACTGGCGGTACAGCTTTCTATTAAGAGGGAAGTCTGGTGCGTGGATTGCAGCAACCTACAGCATTGGATGCATAAGCAATGAGTGGAGTTTGGAAAGTTCTGCTGACAGGTTGCAGCAGTGGGGAGCTCCGGTACGTGACCCATGGCAGCGGGGAGATGCTGCAGAAGCCGTGGGCTGACTGGCAACTTCCGAGCACTGGAGGCTCTATTGGAGGAAGGTTAAGCTCACAGCAAAACATAAAAATATATAAACTGGGGTGAGATGACTTCAAAAATCTCTTAGGCACTAAAATATAACACATTCAATTCATTTATGGAAACATACTACACTTATCCTTAAAACGATTTTAAAATTTTATTTATTTATTTATTTTTGTTTTTTGAGATAAGGAGTTGATATTTAGCCCAGGCTGGCCTGGAACTGGCAGCATTCCTCCTGTCTCAGCCACCTGAGTGCTGGGATTATAGACATGCGCCTTTAAAATGATTTTAAAGTTGCCCATCACACAGATGTTCAGCGACTGACATTCCACTTACCATATATATCCAGCCTAGCAGTGCACGACACAATGCCAGCCTCGTTCTTGGCTGATAACGTGTACCATCCTGCGTCTGATTTTTTGGCCGGCTGAATGAGGAGACAGACATACCCTGTTGTGTCCTGGTGCATGCTGCAGAAAAGGAAGAATATGTTCATATTGTATCTGGAAGCAGGATCGTTTCTGTCAAGCTCAGGGCTGAGGGGGAACTTTCAGAGATTTTCCTACCAAAAGGCAAAAAAGGGGAACTCCACTAAAGGCAAATTCAAAAGTAAAAAGAAGGCACAAGCCAGGCCTGACAGTATATAACTGCAACCCCAGCATTCTGAGGCTGCTTACCTGCTTAGTGAAACCCTGTCTCCAAAATCAAAGATAAAAAAGGGCAGGGGATGTAGATAGGGAGAGGGCCCTGGATTCAATCCCCATACCCCTAAGACATCCACAGAAGAGCAGCAGTGGACGAGTGACACTAGAGGAGCCGACTAGCTGAGATGAGACCTGTTCTGTCCTCTTGACTGCCCCTGTTCTGCTGAAGTTCACGCCCCACCAGAGGGACCCCATTTTTCACCATCACAGTGCAGGAAATGCCTCTTTCCAAACGTGGTTGAAAGTTTCAGAAATGATGGGGAAGCAGAGCAAATTGAGAGCCCAGAGGTAGATGCACCAGTGGCTCGGAGGTAGTGTCTCCTGGCCACCAGTGGCAGGTGCAGCGTGTGGCTCAGAGCTGTTAAGGCGGAAATCAGCCTGTGATTTTGTTCTTCTAGAATCTCAGCTGGGATTCAAGCCATAGAGCTTTAAAACATTCCCCAGGTGACTCTTATGCAGCCAAGGACCAAGGGCTTTGGGGATATAATCATACATATCCTAGGTGCCAAAATTCTGGATGAAATCATTTTACTGTGGAGAAATAATTTTCAGTGCAAAGTTTGCACACTGCGACCACTGCTTGCTCTCCCCCTGGTGGTATAAAACTAAAATTGCAAAGAAACAAGGTTGGTTAGGAGAAATCAAGCCAACTACTTTGGGAAACTGGATCCTTGAAGTTATTTTAAAAACAACCAGCTGGGCGTGGTGGCACATTCCTGTAACCCCAGCACTCAGGGAGGCGGAGGCAGGAGAATCTCCACGAATTTGAGGCCAGTCTGGGCTATGTATTGAGTTTAAAACCAGCCTGAACTTCATAGCAAGACCCTGTCTCAAAATAACATTAAAAAGAAATTGAAAATTTTAAAACTCCAAGACAGCAATACAATAGACTATCACCCAACAATGAATGGGAATAAATTCTTGATTTGCACAACATCACGGAGGAACCCCCAGAGCACTACGTTAAGGGAAAGTGGCCAGCCCTCAGGCTGCAGCGTGCTCTGGGTGGCGGCCCTGGTTCCCTGTGCAGTGGCGCTGCCTTACCTGACCCTCTCCCTGGTGAAGGGGATGGTCTCATTGTCCTTCTTCCAGTAGAACACGGGAGGGGGCATGCCGATCACGCGGCACTCCAGCCGCACCGGGTGGCCTTCGGGGACGCCACTGTTCTGCAGTTTCTCCAGGATTACTGGTGCTTTCTTTACCTCTTTGGCTGAACAAGAGAAGGAGCTTCTTGTCAACAGCAAGTGCCTGAGGCCCCCCTCCTCACACTCACAACTGTGGAATTCAGCAGAGTGGGCAGAGCCTGCCTCACCTAGCGCCTTTTAGTGAGGCACAGCCTTGAGAAAGCTCCAAAATGGTTTAAAAAATAACTAAAAAATGGACTACCATCCCTGCACATCCCTGGTGATACAAACCTCAGGTCACAGACCTTGGATGTAGATGCTAGGAATGGTGAAATCAAAGGAGTTTCTTTTATTGCTCAACAATAACTCTGGAGAATTAATATACTCCATGTACTTTTCTTTGGTTTTGTTTTTAAACAGGGTCTCACTTTGTAGTTCAGGCTGGCCTTGAATTCACGATGTACCCAGGCTGGCCTTGAACTTGCAAAAATCCTCAGCTTCCTGAGTACTGGGGTTACAGGCATGTGCCATCATACCTGGCCAATACTCCATGTACTTAAAATTGATCCTTTTTTTCCTTGGAGGAGTTTATTTCGTAGAAGTTATATTAATTTCCCCCAAACTTTTTAGTTTTAAAAAAAGGCTCATACCTACAGAATTGTACTACTATTTTTAAAAACACAGAATCATACTTCCCAATGAGGTCTTCCTTTGGTCAGAACCTCATAGATCAGAGTTCCAAAGTTAATGTTTTAGGAAAATAGTGGGGAAAAGGCCAAAGCCTGCAATCAATGTATCCTTGCAAAATGAGTTTTCCTCTTGTGTTGGCTAGAAAAAAATTAAAAGTGAGAAACGGAAAAAAGATACACAGGGGAAACTGCCAGTCGAGTTGGCACAGAGAAGCCACCTCTGGCTCCCTTTAGGGGCCACACAGACAGCAGGAGAAGGTCCCACATCAGAACCCCCCTGCTCTGGCCTTAATTCTGGCTGGATTACTGCCGTACAGCTGGGCCCTTCGCGGGGGCAAATGTCTTGCTATTCTCAGTAGACACAGCTGTGTTTTTCTTCACACCTTCATACGCAAGGCTCATTTGTTTAGTCATGGATATGACATTTGCTCAGCACCTTCCATGTCCAGGCACTGAGGCAGGCGCTGGAGAGATGCATAACAGGCCAGTCTCAACCTCAGAGTCCAAAGTCTCCAGCGTCTCCTTTCTAAGTGCCATGGAGACACAGAGGCAGACTGGAGGAAGCAGTTGTGTCTGGAGTACCCACTGTGCCTGGGAGGTGTCACTGAGTTCGGCTTTCAGAGAATGGGTTAGAAAGTTGCTGGGCAGAGGGGAAACTGACAAGATTAGGGGGATAAAAGAGCCCAGGACATTCCAGGAATGACAGACTGTAGGGCAGACAACTGGAATTTAGTGAGTCAACAAACTGATTAAGTGACTGGTAAGGAATGACTATAACGCTCAGTGTGTGCACGTGTAAATGTGCACGGTGCCACATTACAGCCTCGGATTGCTACAAATCTTTCAAAGCAAGGTAAGACACGTGTGTGTGTGTGTGTGTGTGTGTGTGTGTGTGTGTGTGTAACAGATTTGTGGTGCAAAGGACTAAGGAATTTGCACAACAACTTGGAAGGGAGTCACACCTCAGGGTCCCAGCAGCAAGCCTTACCGACCACAGTGAGTTCCAGACTAAAGGAATTCTGCCCGGTTTTGTTGGTAGCCACGCACGTGTAGGTGCCTGCGTCGCGCTGGGTGAGGGGGTCGATGAGCAGCGAGTGCACCCCTGTCTCCCTGACCAGCATCTTGTGGGAGGCATCTGGTAGCACAGGTTGGCCATTGAGCAGCCACGTCAGCTCTGGGGGCGGTAAGCCACTCACCTAATAAACAACAGGACAGCTGAGGCAAATGACAGGCTGATGACAGGCAGATTTATTCAGTGGCTGAATTCTTCAGCCGTGTTTGGCACCAAATATATAGTGAGAGAAAACATGGACCAGTGAGGACTTGGTCCTGCAGCCTCAGGAGAAGAGAGGTCTGAATGAATGGCTGCATGAATCTAAGCTATGGGTATTCTGACCCCAATTTGAGTCAAGGTTAACCTATTTGATTGTACTGTAGGTTCAAATAAATGAGAATTAAGCTAAGTAGATGACACAGGCCTGTGGCATCAATATCAGAAATGACACATTGCTTACATACCTGACGAGTGAGAGTTAGATAAGCAAAAGGTCAGATATTAAACCAGGCTCTCAAATTGTGTTGCACGTTATAATCACGTGGGGGAGTGTTTAAAAATCCTGAGGCCCACATAAAATATTAACTCAGAGTCGCTGAGGATGGGACCCAGGTGATGGTGTTTTTGAGAGTTTAGTGGGGGAATGAATACTCAGCCTGAATATCATGCAGGCCGCCAAAGGAGAACAAGAATCACTTACAGGAGTGGATTTTCCATGAACGTATAATCTCAAGTCATCACTAATTTGCGCATCTATTTTCTATAGCTTTCTGTACCTTTGTCTGAGGCAGAAGAGGTGACCTGCTAGGAGACCTCTGTCCTAGCTTCCAGTTGAAAAAATTAGAATGTAGGAATTACTAAAGGCGATGGAGGGTAATTAGTAGGAGAAACCTCTTCTGTTCTTGTAAACTGCTGTATTTTCAGGAAGATAATTTTTTTTTTTCCCGGAGACTACAGCTCACAACAATCACTTGAAGGATGCAAAAATCACACTTTGGGCTTCGTAGTCAAGAAGGGTTTCTGGTTATCACAGGCAAGATGTGCAAGTCACATCATCTCTTTTGATTGTCTTCTAAAAACATAAAGTTAACTGGATATAACATCCATGTAATTTTTCTTCAGATACTATGATTTTAAATATCATGAAATAATTTTGCTTGGTATTGACACTCCAATTTCTCTCCTTTTTCTAGGGCTCCTTTGTAAACCAAAAACAAAACTCCCAACACATGAATACCCCCCCCAAAAAAAACCCAAAATGCAAACAAACAATCAAAAACAAAATCTGACAGATGTGGAACTAAGGACTGGTAGTAACAGTTTACCTTGCAGTCCAGGCGACAGAGGCGTCCCTCGTGAGCTACCATATCCCCAGGAGCCTGCAGGAAATGTGGTCGGAAAAAGCGTTCCTGAAGGGGTTCTTTGTCTCTTTCTTGCAGTCTGGACCTTCCCCTAAAGCAAGCATATTCAGGTATCAACCCCAGACTTTACAGAATTTACAAACTTTTAGCAATAGGCATGTAGGCATGACTACAAGACTACATGGGCAAGACTTTTTTTTTTGAGGGGCAAAAGGTTTGCTATACCCCCCAAAACCCCATAATAATGAATAATTAATAATGATGTGGAGCTAATGTTAAAAGAAAACCCCAGTGTGGTAAGCATCTCATATAGTGCAGGATTCTCTTGTGAAATCTGTAATCAAATAAACAGGCTTTAGCTTCTTTCACTCTGAAGTCACACTGGGTTAAGTGGCTCAGCTTCTGTTGCCACAGGCTTGACCAGTTGTTCAAAAGGCATCAAAATAAACAAATAAATCAGTATTCAATCCGAACCTCGAGGGAGTGCCAGAAGAGAAGTCCAGTTTATTATCCAGAACAAAGCAGCTGCAATCTCTACGTCTTTGAGTAAGAAAATTTAACCTGGCTATAAATTAAGGCAGGATGACCATGAACTTAAATTGGGTAAGACTGACCAAGAGGAACAGCTGCTCTTGGAGGGGGCGGAGAAGAAGGAGGAGGTATAGTTGCAATGGTGGTGAAATACTGTATCTGAAACATGGGTCACTATTTTTGTGCCTTTGGTAAGTCACATTTAATTCATCCATGTCAGCAACTATGGGATGCTTTGCTAAGACTTTGTGGCACCACAGACTCAAGGACAAAGTCTTTCTTCTTAGTGGTTAGGATAATCAGAGAGGAAGAGCGTCAAGAACGATTAAATATTTGATCTATGTACACATGACAGTTAAAGGTAGGTTGATTGGTCTGTTTTTGTGATATTGGGGATTGAACCTGGGGATTCAACATGCTATGCAAGTGCTCTACCACTAAGCTGCATCCCTGGCTTTTCTTATAGAATAGATAGTAATTTAATCCAAGGGGCCTGATTTATATATTATGTTCACAGAGCTACTAATGGTTACAAATTTTGAGCCATTAAAATTGTGCCAAAGACTTGCATTTCTTCAAGTTTATGGTGCTTGCAAATCGCCTGGGGATTTTGTTAAAATGTAGATTATGATTTAGTAGATCTGGTGTGGGGCTTGGGATTCTTCATTTCCAACAAGCTCTTAGATGATGGTGTTGCAGGTGGAGCTCTACCTCTCCTTGGCAATTAGGAGTTATGGTGCACACGTGTAATCCCAGCAGGCTGAGACAGGAGGATGGTCAGTCCAACCTGGACAATTTGGTGATTTAGTCAGATTCTGTCTCAAAATAAAAAAGTGTACCTCAGTTCAAAGAAAGGTCAAAGATCATTCCCCAGTATAAAACACACACACACACACACACACACACACACACACACACACACACACACCTTGTAGACCTGATGATTTCTGTACTCATTGTGGTGGGTAGACACGTGGGAGGGTCCCAGAAATGGGATATTTTTTTTTTTTTGGAGGTTACTGGGAAATCAAACCCAGGAGTGTTACTAAATTATGTCCCCAGAGTACCCCTTACCCTTTTAAATATTGAGATGGGGTCTTGCTAAATTGCCCAGGTGGGAGTCAGCTTGTAATCTCAGCATTGAGGGAGACTGAGGCAGGAGGATCACAGATTGGGGGATTTTAATGTTTTTACCTGTGAGGTTGACCAGCAGAGGTTAGTCGACTACGAATGGGCATACCCTGTACCATCAAATGGCCAGAACAGCTGATTCTCCCCTGAGAAACAGAAAACAAAATTAAAACAAAACAAAACAAAATCTAAAGTGTTTTATTTATGTAATCATTTTTTTTTGGCACCAGAGCATGAAAATTTTCCTTGAATGAATTTTTTTTGAGGAATGAAAACAATATAATTGACTGCAAATACTCCATTGGAGACAATTTTTTATTTTTACTTTTTGGTACCGGAGATTAAACCCAGGGCCTTTGCTTTGAGTTAAATCCCCAGGCCTTGTGTATTTCTATTCTGAGACAGGGTCTTGCTAGGTTGCCCAGGCTGGGCTCAAACTTATCATCCTCTTGCCTCAGCCTCCCAGAGTGCAGGGATTACAGGTGTGTATTGTAATGCCCAGCTCAGAGGGATAAATTTTTAAGACTGCGATGATTTTAATTTTTAACGTGAGCAATGAACAGAATCCACACATGCATGCACCCACACAGTTGATCCAGGCATGGTGATGCTTATCTGTAATCCCAGCATTTAGGAGGCTGACAAAGGTGGATTACGAATGTGTTTGAGGCCAGCTCAGGCTATAAAGCAACTCTGTCTCAACAAAACAAAGCAAATTGAATTTTTGTGATGTTAATGTTATTTGCAGTCGAAATGCAGAGGGCATAGGCAAATATTTTAATTCTTAAGAAACTCATCAAAGCTGACACTGCCATAGGAAATGTGAATGAGACGTAGAAATTATAGTTAAAAATTTTCCATCCCAACAGTAACTGAAGATACTTATTTTGCCTTATCCGTCAGGGGAATTTTGAGACTTGGTCTTATTTAGAAAAAGAAAATGGGAGATTATGAGTTTACAGTTGTTATTTTAAAAGCAAGTATGAAAAAGATAAAATAATATTTTAAAATTGAGAGACATTTAAACTCTTTTTGAAGTAATTTAGCTATTTTCTAAAGACCAAAAATCACAAGTCATTCTTCGGTAGGATAAATGATAGAATGACTTAGAGATTTTTGAAGAAAGTCAGTGAGTTGATAAACAGATCTATTAGGCTGCTAATCTGTGTTTATGATACTTTGCTTGATAAAAACTTTAAAAACAATGAGTCTAATGATGGGGGCGGGGAAAAGCAAGGTTTAGCCAGCGGATCTGGACGCATGCGCAGTGAAGAGAGCGTGCCATTGTCCTACACCAGAGGCTGAAAGGCTGGGGGCTCGAGGGTTTGCTGGTCTTTTGAATTGTGATACTATGCTCTCGTTCCACACAGTCGCAGGGCTTGCCAGGCATTGTCCTCTGTGCCCCGCACTTGTTCACCCTCCCTGCTGCGCCGAGGGCGCCTCCCTCAGAGGTGCGCACGCACCTGAGGGTTGGCCGCCATGATGGTGTAGTTGCCGTCGTCGTCGCTGGTGGTGCAGTCGATGTGCAGAGAACACGTCCCGTCGCCCTCTCGCCTCATTTTGCAGTGTCCATTTCTCTTAGAAATCTGCTTCCCATCTTTGAACCAGTAAACCTGAAGTAAAAAGATAGTGCAGGTGAATCTATACTGTTCCCTTTGTCTTCAGAGAATAGAGAACTAGACAGTGGATGAGGGAAGGGTAGATGCCAGCTCTCCACCACACTACTCATCCTTTCCAAACGCTTGGAAACCAGTTATAAAACTGAGTTGAAACCGGGCGTGGTGGCTCACGCCTGTAATCCCAGCACTTGGGAGGCTGAGGTGGGAGAATCGTTGCGAGTTCGAGACCAGCCTGGGCTACAAAGTGAGCTCAAGGCCAGCCTGAACTGCACAGCGAGACCCTGTCTCAAAAACAAAAAAACAAAAAACCCAAAAAACAGAGTGAAATGATGGTGTAATATGCCCCTCCTTTCTATCTATATAGTACTTAAGTAAAATATTCAATATAATTCAGGATTAAAATAAAGCTTTTGACTATTTTTATTATAGTTTATAATTAATTTAGAAGCTATGCAAAAGATCAGCTGCATGTTCAGAGGCAAAACTGAAAACCAGGAGGCCAGATCGTTTCCTGTATTATCCTTCTAACAAGTTCTGCAGTTGCAAATCTCAGCACCTGAAATAGCTCGCCTTGCATCAAGTGATACTATGGTTTATTTAATACCAAGTAGACAAGGTTAGGATTGATTTGCTAAATCTTTTAATCCAGATTTAAATATATGTATTGTTTCATGGTTAAATTCTGCATGTGTCAAGGAGATTTCTCAAAGACAGGGCGATAAAGTACAGGCTGCAGTCGAGTTTTCCTGGTGTCTCACCGTACATGACAACAGCATGCTAGTGTTTGTGAAAGTAGAGTGGAGAGGTCCGGGCTACTGCCACACCAGGTGTAAATCCTTCTCTCAGCAGACTGCCAAAAATCTAGTGGCTTAAGATTTTTCAGCAGCCTGTGATAATGATAGGACATTTTTGGCGTTTACCAAGCTAAAGGTAATGATACAAATATAGCTCACTTTGTAAAACAACAGGCACCCTGTGGATATCCAACAGGAATTAAATAGAATGAAAAAATCAATTCGATGAGTTTGACGGCTAAGACAATTGATAGCCTAAGATGTAGTGTCAGGATGAAGAAAGATGCCTTAAACTTTTATGAAAATTCTAACAAGTATAATTTACTTGGAGCCTATTTAATGATCCTATTCCTGATATCTCTTTTTAGTGAGATCCTCTAGGTTTTGCTGATTTTTTGGTATTGGTTTTCACTCATTCCCTCTGTGGATACTTCATTAGAAAATAATTTTTCTTGGGGTTGGGGGTTTAGCTCAGTGGCATAAGTGCCTGCTTGGCAAACACAAGGTCGTGAGTTCGATCCCCAGCCCACCTCCCCCCAAGAAGAAAATAATTTTTCTTAAAGGCACTGTCTATAGTTCTGTTTGTTGTTAGTTGGTCAGCTGGTTGGCCATCTACCCCTACCTTTGGAACAGGTATCCCAACAATTTTGCAGGTGAATGTGACTGGTGAGCCTTCTGTAACCCGGAAATGCTTGAGTCTTTTGTCAAAGATGGGAGCAATACATTTGCCCGTGGGAATCTCATCATGTTGGATTTCATCATCTGATTCATCAACAGGTGTACGTTCCAAGCGAAACTCTATTTCATTCATCAGCCTCTGTTCAAAGCTTGAAATTTTGTATTCCTGTAAAAGTGACAAATGTATTTCAATTTCTGTTTCTGTGGCAGCATATCCATCAGTATGATTGAGCATAATGGTTTGTGTCTGGATTTCCCCCCTAAAGCCTCATATGGTCACAGGGTCAGGCTTCTAGAGTTTGTGACTGATTCATGCTGGGATGCTGGGATTACGAGTGTGAGTGCTATACCCACTGCAGGGTGAGTGTGGCCTACATTCAGTATAAGGGAAGAATCTTTTCTCCATGCTCCTCCCTTTTTGCTCTTGGCACTTTTGCTATTTTCCACTGCCATGAAACATTGCTCCTATGCCACATGCCATCCTGCCTTGGAGCCAGCTGATTATGGCTGAAACCTTCATAAACTGTGAGCTAAATAAACCTTTCCTTCCTTAATTTTGTGTGTCAGGTATTTTGTCTTAACAATGAGAGAAGAGTAACCAAAACAAAGCTGGGTGTGGTGGTTCTCACCTGTAATCCCAGCAATTTGGGAGGTTGAGGCAGGAGGATTGTTGCACATTTGAGACCAGCCTGGGCTACAAAGTCAGCTCAAGATGAGCCCAAATTGCATAGTGAGACCCTGTCTCAAACCCCACACACACACACATACAAAAAAAAAAAAAAAAAAAGAAAAGAAAAAGAAAAGTACCCAAGACAGAATTTGGTACTAGAGAAGTGATTATATCTGACCATGTGGTTCAAGAGCTTTTGGGAAGCATTTGGAAAGATTCTGAGATACTTCCTGAATGAGTAGAACTGGAATGCTTTAGGATGTTCTGTGTAGGAGATTCTGATCAGTGCTCAGAAAACCATAAAACCAGTAAAGTCCAGGCTCAGGAGGTTTCTGCTGGGAAGAAGGACTGCATTGGGTGCTGGACTCCATATGATGTGTGTTATGGCGTGGCAGAAAGTCTGTCTGCATTTTGATTGTGTCCAGAGACTTTGCCTGAGACTGAGATTAAGACTGGCAGGCTAACTAATCTGGCAGAAGAAATTTCAAGGCAGTCCAATGTTGGGGCAGTGGAATGGCTATTAGCCAGATTTATCTTGCAAATCAAGAGCAAAGAGCCCAGAGAATAATTTAAAACACTGTGAGTTTGGTGGGAAAGGAGGTTCTGGTAAAGCTGTGGACTGCAACAGATAGAGCTGAGGTGATCATGATTGCTGAGAAGGAACAGAATGTAAAAGATAGCCTGAGGGTATCACAAGAAGCAGTAAGTCTCCACTCTTTGTAGCCTTGAAGCTGCAAAAGTGAAAGACTTTGCTTTGAGGAGAAAGCCACAGAGCACCATGTTTCAGAATGGTGACAGCCATACTATGTTCCAGAATGGTGGCAGCATAGAGAATTTGTTCATCAGAATCAGCTTCACAGTGCTCAGTGATCCAAGCATTTGACCCCTACAACCAAGAGAGAAGAAAGTCTGGCTACTCTCCAGTTGGTAGCAGATCTTGGCATTATCCATGTGGTGCCAGTTTTAGGTACATGCAGAATGCAAAAAGAGTTGTGGGATTAAGAAGACTTTCACTCCAATTTCAGAAGAAGGCTTGGGAGCCCGAGAGGGCATTATGTGAAGCTATGAGGGTGAAATCAAGGATGCAGTGGAGAACCCACAAGTCTGGAGAAGCCAGGAATGTGGATCATCTAAGTAAACTTTCAAGGAGGGAGCAAAGCGAGCTCAAGAGAGAAGCTGCAGGAGCTACTACCACTGGATGTGCCATAGGAGTGGCGCTGTGCAAATGCTTTGGAGTTCACAACTTGCCACAGATTGCTTTGGATGCTCCATATGGAACTGCAGGACTTAATGTTTGCCCTGTTGGATTTTGGACTTGTGTTGGTCCCATTCTTTTGTATTCTCTTGTTTGTAACTTTTTGAACAAAAATTCTACCTCGTGCCATTGAATGTTGGAAGTGTTTGACTCTGTTTTCATTTGTACAGTGGCTTATAGCTAAGAGTTTGTCTTGTATCTTGGAGGAGACTTGGGACTTGGACTTTTCAGCAATGCTGAAACTGTTAGGATTTTTGCAACTCTTAGAGATGGACTAAATGCCTTTTGCATAAAGGAAGTGCATGGGTCTTTGCAGGGGTCAGGGGAAAAATGTTATGGTTTGTATCTGTATGTCCCCACAAAGCCTTATGTGGTCATAGGGTCAGGCTTCTAGCATTAGTGACTGATTCATCGTCTAATGCTGAGATTATGGGTGTGAGTGCTATACTCACCTCAGGGTGGGGGTGGCCTACATATAATATAAAAGAAGAGTCTTTTTTCCATGCTCCTCCCTTTTTGCTTTTGTTACTTTGGCTGTTTTCTGCTGCCATGAACTGTGTTCCTGTGCCACGTGTCACCCTGTCTCGGAGCCAGCTAATTATGAACTGAAACCTCCACAAACTGTGAGCCAAACAAACCTTTCCTTCCTTAATTTTGGGTGTTGAGTATTTTTTCTCAGCAATGAGAGAAAAGTAACCAAGACACTGAGGATGTGACTTTTGGAGATTCAGATGTTAGATTTGCATCATGAAATACCAATAAACCAGTCATATTTCTTTTTAAATTCCTTGCCAAAAGGACAAAAGCAATCTTGGACTGCCTTAGTTAAACCTGATTCCTCACCTTGCATAGGGAACCCAGTAGAATTCTGTGGAGAATAGAATGAAGATTGAATCCAATTTCTATAACTACAGAGAATGTACATTTAAAAAATGCAGAGCTACATACAAGGCTTTTTTTTTTCTTTTCTTTTCTTTTTTTTTTTTTTTTTTTTGAGTCAAGGTCTCACTATGCAGTTAAAGCTAATTTTGAACACATTTTGTAGTCCAGGCTGGCCTTGAATTTGGGGCACTTCTGCCCCAGCCTCCCAAATGCTGAAGTTACACATATGCCTGGCTACTAAAGGGTTATTTTGGCAAAGCTATTCTGCATTTCATTCTGGTCCATGCCTGCATCATCCACTTCCTGTATCTACTGCACATTTCCATCTGTCTACTCCAGGAAATCCTGCCTTGAATAATAGGCTTCTGTCTGTCTGTCTGTCTGTCTGTCTGTCTCTCTTTTGTTTTTGAGACAGAGTCTCGTTCTGTAATTCTACCTGGTCTTGAACTCACTATGTAGCCCAGCCTGGCCTTGAATTTGCAGCAATCCTGTCTCAGCTTCCTGAATGCTGACATTACAGGAGTGTACCATCATGCCCAACAAATAATCTCTCTCAACCCACATCTGCCTTCACCGCATTTCTCTGTTCCTTTCACAACAAAACCATTTGAAATAACTGTTATTGCAGGACCATTTTCTTATCACTTGTTCTCTTCCTAGCTGCCTCCGTTCGGCTTGTGTTCTCACTGGTCCCCTGAAATTGCTACTGGTTGGGTGTCCAAATTTACCCAATTGAATCATCATGTGTTTCTACTTGACCTCTTGGGAGCCCTAGTTAGAGATGACTACTTTTCCTTTCTGAAGTGCTTTTTTCCTTTTAGGTCCCAGGACACACTGTACTTAGTTTCTTGTTCTTCCATTAACAACATCTTAGTAGTCTCCTCCATTGGTTCCTACACTCTGGCCTTGGAGGTCTCATAGCTTCCATATGCTGAGGATTTGCAACCTGTATCCCTAAACCCGCGGACTCACACACACAGTCATCTACTCCATATCATGGTGCCCAGTAGGGACCTCAGACTTAGCCTGGTCCAAACAGTGCACACTTGACTTTTGTTCGCAAAGTACTCCTTGCCTGCCCCTCATCTCAGAAAATGGTACTACTATTCATTCACTTGATTAAGTGGTTAAATCAGTGTTTCCCATACTTTGGTTAAAAATTCAGTTTCAAAATAGTTCTAATTTGTGCTTTTGTCAAATAAAATAAAAATGAATTACTGGTAAAATTAAGTTTAAAAAGCATGCAAAATTATGTTTAAAAACATACTATTTCCCTATCAAAGTGCTATAAAAATTCCACAACGGTTACTGTCCCATTCTATACTTATCTCAAGGTGACAGCTTGCAGTTTGGCAATGGTTCATGGGACATACGTGGAGTGTACTGAGTTAAATCCTAAGTTTAAGGCTTATCCCAGATTCCTTTCATGCCACCTCCCTGCCACATCCTATCTGTCAAGCTTGAATGTCACCTCCCAAAGCAGCCTCCTCAGCTCCTTCAGCAGTAGCTCTCTATTCTAATTCTCCATATACTCCTGGTCGCTATTTAGTGTTTTTCTTATTTGTTGGTCAGTTGATTAACTGTCAGAATATGAGCTTCCCGGGAGCACAGGTCTTGCTGTCTTACTTCCTCCTGTGTTCTAGGAACATAACACTGGGTCCCATCCCTTATGTTCCTACTGTAAAATTTTACTTTGTTTTTATTCATTTAGTACTGAGAACTGAACTCTTGATGTTGCACTTGCGAGGCAAGTGTTTTGCATTGAGCTGTATCTCGGCCCTGTAAATCTGTATTTTAGTTTAATAGAAACCAGCTGTGCATCTCAGTATCTTTCCCTAAGGGATACAGGAAGCAATCTATGTGTTTACCCACTTGGTATGATGTACAAAGTGTGTGTACATGCGAAAAAGTGACAAAATGGGATTTCCCCCTCACTTTATGCTTCATGTAACTGGTTTCGTATGTTTACCCAAGCATCACAAAGGACCCAACAGGCCCACACCACTCCAGGATTTGTTTTTTAAAAGTTTTCTTTTGATTTTTCTGGTTGAAGTAGTCCAATTCAGTATAATGGCACATGAAAAAAGATTTGTGAGTTTTGAAGGAGGCAAAAGTGAACCAGCAGACTACTCGTGCAATGGATAATGAAGATGCTACATTATGGTAAAATACATGTGTTCATAACAGAAGGATGGTGTAGGAGCGTGGTGATGATGATGATGACTTTGAAGTTGGCCATGTGAACCAAAGTTCCTATGATAGTGAAATGGAGTAAGAATTGACTGATATAGACATGGGGAATGCAGACCTCCTTGATTCAGATGGGGAAGAAAACAGTAATGTGAGTACATGTTTGACC